TCGATCTGGCGAGAATCGATAGCTCTGCCCCCCTCAATTCGGGGCCAGAAGTGATTGGATTTACACATATAGCGGGCCAGAAGTGACTTGGTTTACACATAGAGAACAGATGCATCAACCATTGGGACTGCATAAGCCGCCCAGAATTTGGTGCGATGGGCCTCCTCGGCCTCTGCGCGCGCCACCTTGGCCTCCACTAAATTTGGCCTTTTCGTCCTGCTGCCGCTTGGCCTCATCGGCCGTGCATCATCTGCGAAAAATCCGAAACCTTCTTCAGGTTGGCAAGGCCTTCTCATAAGACGCGAAGAACCTCGGGCCCTCTGAACATGTTTTCTGAGCTTCCATCCGAAACCGACGACAACTCCTCAGAACAAGCGGGGGCTTCTGAGAAACCCCGCTGCCTTCTGAGAAAGCCCACCCCGGCCCCCCTCACTTCCTCCCAAATGGGCCGTCGATTCTGGGAACCGTCGGCTGCAGCAACGAGGGGCAACGCGGGGGATTGACACAAGGGGGGAACATCCGAACTGCACTCGGCGAGATATCGCCGATGGGTCGGCGGTAGGCCCCCGACCGTGAATCCACACGTTCCTGACTTGCGCCTATCGGGCCCCTCAAGGCGATGAGTAGGCGATTGGGGGTCGATGCTTCCCCCCTGCGCCTATCCCCCCCTATCGTTGCCCCCGAGACAAAGCCTGGCAAGCAAGCGTCATTTCACTCCGAAAGGGGGATGAGGATAGGACCGCTCCGCCGCTCCGCCTGCACCGCTCGCTCGTGCCACCTCTGCCGCCCCAACGGCCTACTCCAGACAGTGGGAAGCACTACGCGGCGCCCCCTTTCAAAACCATGGTAACAAGGGCTGGTGGACTCACGGCTTGGAGCGCCTTTGGAAACTGGACCATCCATCATCCAATGACGCTCCAAACCGTGAGAGCCGCCCCGAAACACGCAATGCGCAGTTGCGAGACACAGAGATTCGCGTGTTCACCAGGGAAGGGGGGGAGGCGGGGCCCCCGTGCTTACTCCACCTGCTTGAAACAGGCGCTAAAAACAGCCAAGATCTACTCTGGGGGGGGTGCGAGGGCCCGCGCCGATCGGCAAAACAATGCATAACAAATGATCACCAACGTATCACCATGTTCGAAATTACCCAACGCGGGTTCTCCCCCATCTCATATGTCTTACGCTCGCCGACGTGGCCCTGAGGCGTTACCTCGTCTCGGCGGCGGCCCTGGCGACACGCGATGTCCTGCGAGCGGATAGCGTGTCGCTCCGCTCCGCGGGGCGAGAGGCTCTGAAAGGCTCGGGATGTCGACTACTGGTGACCAAATCGTGGATAGCGTGTCGCGCCGAAGCGCGGTGGCCCAGAGCCGGCGACGCGAGACGCGAATCCCAAATTCTTGACCGTCTATGCCGCAGCGAAGCTTGGAGGCACGAGCCACCCAACCACTCCGCCGGCGTTGCCCGCTCGCCGCCCGTGTCTCAGGTGAGTGCTACTGGGGGGGACGCACATGGGGGGAAAGCACGTTTCCCCAAACAAGGCGATTGGAGGCGGAAGCCCGTTTCAGATAAGGTACGTTGCTCGACTTGAACGTCCCATTTCAAGCGGCGCCTTTCCCATGCTTGCGGCGCAACTCCCAACGTGGCCCTGTTAATTGCGACACGAACGTCGTGCGCGGCGACTTCCCACTCATTCATTTTGATGCGCAACACCAGCGGGTGGCCCGAAGATGCAACGCATGATGATGTCTCAAAAATGTCCCTCAAATGCCGCAGTGATTCAAAAAGTGACTCGAACATTTCCCTGAAGAGGCCCGGTGCTGCATCGCACTCGATGAAAGAAACCTAGAAAAAAACATCCACTTTTGGCGGGACACGGCGGCCGCACGCACGCGGCCCGGGTGTCGCCGCGCAACCCCTCGGGGTCTGACGTTGCTCCACCAGCCGGAGAATGCCAGCAGTGAACCGCAAGCGCAGTCCCCCCGCCAAACATGTTCAAAAAGGTGTAAAGCAACAGATGCCCCCTAAAAGATTTCTAACAGGCCCCTAGAAGATCCCTGCAATTGGCCAAAGTTGCTGCTTTCTTCGCTCCACATTTGCACACCTCCCATGGCCACTCACACCCGAGGGTTGCCGCCTCGGCCTGTTCTGGCTTCGTGCAGTTCAGCCTGTGCGCCAACTCTGGCGGACCGGTCCCCTGACGGGCAGGCCAGGTGCACGGAACAAGGCGAGGGAGGGCGCAGAGGCGCTCGGAGCCAGGGCTGGGCCGCCGAGCAGCTCTCTCCTCTCTCCAGGAAGAGCCGCCGCCCCGAGGAGAGGCCCACGCAGAAACCGAGGAGCCGGCACGGCCCGCGCCAAGTGATCGGAGCGGTCGCCTGCCCCGCCGCGTCCCTCCGTCGCGCCCTCCACCCCCGCGCCTCTGGCGTCCGCGCTGACCGCTGGCGCGATGCCGTCGGCGGCCGCCGGCGCGGCGCCGCCGCCGCTCGGCGCCCTTGGCGCGGAGGGCCACTGCCGTGGCCGTCGCCGTCGTCGCCGCCGCCGCTCGTCGGTGCCGCCGCCGTGCTGCCGTCGCCGCCGCCGCTCGCGGTCCTCGAGTTTCGAGGATGGAGGATTGGGGACGCTGTCGGCTCTCCGTCGTCGTCGTCGTCGCCGCCGCCGCCGTCGCCGCGGGGACGGAGAGGAGGAACTCCCCCCCGTCGTCCTCACCCTACGATCCGGTGGCTATTGTTGGTAATGAAATTTGAATGGGCGTTCCATACCGGGCAAATTTTGGGTCCGACGCCATGTTCTCAATCTCGCTTCATCCGTAGCCAGAGCGACTGAAGACGACGGACGACGCACGCGCGGGCCGGGTAAAATTCTGGAAGGGAGCGCTTCGAGGACGCGGCCCCCCTTTCCCTTTCCCCCCCCCGAGACACGGAGGTTCCTTTTTGGGTAGTATATAAGGGAGGGGCGGTTGGAGGCGAATGTGCCACTTCGGGCTCCCTATGATTTTGAAACCACTTGCTGGGGCCGAATGAACCGCGAATGCACCGCGAATGAACCCCCGAATGTACCAGAATGCGCCCCCGACTGAACCCTCCTCAGCGCCGCAGACGGACCCCGACTCAACCCCCCAGTCGTCGTCGTTGTTAGTCGGCCATCGCCTTGCTTCGTCGCTCGTCTTCCTGAATCGGTCCGATGGTCGTTGTAGAATTTGGCCTCGGCCGGTCGCGGGCGATCTAGCCTTCTAGAACTTTACGACGGCGTCCGTCTCGTCGTCGTCGTTCTTACGTCCTCGTCGTTTGGTCGTCGTCGTTGGTCGGTCGGTCGGTGGTCGTTGGCGTTGTCGTTGTCTGTCTGTCTGTCGGTCGTCGCCGTCGGTCGTCGATCTAGTCGTCGTCGTCGATCGCTCGGTCGGCCAGTCGGTCGGTCTTCGTCGTCGTCGTCGATCGTTTGAGTGGGCAGCTAGAGCGAGCCACGCATCCACCACGGCCTAAGCGAAGTAGAGCCACTAGGCGAAAACATCTCGTCAAAATTCCCACTACAAATGAATCGCCTGACTGACTGTACACAGCTGCACCGTTATACCACTTAACGAACGTGGCGTTCTACCACTTACCTTTCCCTTTGAACGCTCCCACTTGTCTAACCTTCGTTCCCCCACTTGATAAATGCGCCGTCCGTCCACTTTTGTAAAACAACACGATCTACCACCTACAACGTATTTGATCGAATCAGTCTTATTTACTTGGCCATATTTGTCTCAAACCATTTCCTGCCAACGAATAACATAAAATATCTCACAATGTGAACTGACAAGATGCGACACCAAACCAAAACACAACATTCAACAACCAAGCAATGAGAAGACATGACATTTTAAAGTGACACCGAGTGACGAAACACACAGTGGCCCCACAGGGAGCCCCACCGAAGGCCCAAATGTCAGCGTTCGCATGCGGCCACCGCACAAATTTTGGCACACTCCTCATATGTTTTGTGGCCTCACAGGGAGCCCCACCGAAGGCCCAAATGCCAGCGTTCGCATGCGGCCACCGCACCCATTTTGGCACACTCCTCATATGTTTCGTGGCCCCACAGGAAGCCCCACCGAAGGCCAAAATGCGAGCGTTTGCACGCGGCCACCGCACCCATTTTGGCACACTCCTTATATGTTTCGTGGCCCCACAGGAAGCCCCACCGAAGGCCCAAATGCCAGCGTTCGCACGCGGCCACCGCACCCATTTTGGCACACCTCTCACACGTTTGGTAGCCCATAGGGAGTTCCTCCGAATGCGGTGCATACAACGACGGTAGTCAAAACTGCAGATGGTTGGGTCCTTCGCCAGGCTAATTCAACAAGGAGTCCCCGGAGCTCCAGACCACTTCCCCCCGGCCTCAAGGACCCATTCTTCGTCCCGGGTAATGTTTTGATGCCCCAGGGGCCAAGCGAGGGCCCCAAGACGCCGAAATCCCCCCCCCAGTCTACCCCATACGATGGAGGTCTGGGGACGACGTGGTGTACGCACCGGTTGGGCGTTGCCCATACCGGCTGGGGCGGTACTTACATGGGGGGGCGAAGAAAGGTGCACCTCTCGTGCTCCTTCTGGGCACCCGTAGGGCCCCTGAGGTGCGCCTTCCTTCACCCCCCCCGGACAGCCGAACACATGATCAAGAGATAAGTCTGGGCCAGCTTGGGGGAGGCTTCTCAATCAGATGCTCGACTGTGCAACGCCCCCCCATCGGGGAGACGTGAGACACGGGTTGGCCTGACGGGGCCGTCAGTGATGAAATCTGCCGCGAACTCCCGCTGCAAACATCCCACGAAAAAAACCGGACCGCCAAGATCCAAGACGCCCTCGTCACAAAACGTCGGCAGACCCGATCTCACTCGCACCTTATATACGTCTCCCCGACCCCGGTGCGCCACGCCGGAACCGAGCCCCTCCGATGCGCCCCGGGCCCGATCCGCGGCGCGCGGCCGCCGCGGGGGCCCTCGGGCGACCTGGCGGCGTCGCGGCCGGCGCTGGGCGCGGCCGCGGGCGGAGGCACGGACCACGTCGACGACGAGGCGGAGGACCGGCGGGCGCTGGCGGCCTTCGGGGGCGTCCAGGAAAGGGGGTTCGCATCGCATGGTCCGTGATCCGCCAGCCCCCTGGTCGGACGTCACCTGGCGCATTTCCCGGCTCGCGCCTGGGCCTCCCGCGGCCCCTGGGGGTTTCACCAGGTTTCAACAGCGCTTCGCGCTGGTTTGAACAGCAGCCCGGGCAAAGGCACCCTGCTGCCGTCGTTTCGAGAGCATGGCCCGAGGCTTGTGCGCGGCCGGGGGGGAGGAACCAGGGGACGCATTGAGACAAGACGGAAGTCGGGCATGTCCCTCTACAGGGGGAAGATTCAAAAACAGTCAGAAAATAGTCCGGGGATGATTTTTTGCATGTTTTGCATATTTTTCTATCAATGTTTATTTTAGGAGGACATGCCCGACCGAAGACAAGACAGGGGGCGGCCATGACATCGGGGGCGGTATCTGGGACGCCCCCGAGGCCTGCGGCCAAGCCTCCGCACTGGGCGGGCCGCCATCCCTGGGCAGCGTCCCCAGCGGCGGCCCCGACGCCCCCGCGCCGTGGGAGGCGGGCGGGCCGAGCGGCGGCGTCCCCAGCGGTGGCCCGAACGTCCCCGCGTCCTGCAGGCAGGAGGGGGGGGGGGGCAATCGGCAGGGCCTGCGTCATACACCGCGCGGGTGCTGCAGGGCGGGGCCGAAGCGCCCATGCTCCTGCACACGCGGAATCATAACTAACCGGCCTGGCGCTCGCTCTGCAGGGAAAAGGGGGGGGCACATCTCGAAAAAAACCGAGACGTGGAGGTCTTTCATCGTTTGCGGCCTGTGAAGGCCCTCACTGGGCCTCGAGGCCGTCAAGAAGCGACTCGGGACGCCAAACTGGTCCCTGGGAAGTGGTCGAGAGGTCGGGGGCCCGTGTTTCGTATCGTCACGACTGAGAAACATCGAGACGCTCGACGTCTGGGATCGAGCTGGCCCATGTATACACCCCGAGTCAGACAGACTCATGATCGACCTCCGCCGTGGGCAACCCAGCCCAGCCAGCGCCGACGGCGCTCCAACCCCCTGAGCGGTGCACCGACGTGGAGGCGAGGCTGACCCCCGTCGGGCCGCCCCCTTCTCCACGTCCACCACGACTCGCAGAGCATCTAGGTTTGGCGTGAAGCAAGCGGGTCCTGAGGGAAGCGGGTCCTGGCCACTCCTCGCCCTGAATCGTTCTCCGACGGTCCCAGGGCCTGGGAAGAAGCCCCCCCCCCCCCGCACCCCGAAGACAAAGACAAACATCAGGACCCGTTCCCTTTTGGACCCGTTTGCTCCATGGCGACTTGCTGCCGATTGGCTCACGGCTAGGAGACTGGATTGGCGGCGAGCTCGGGGGGGGGGGGGAGTGAGAGGGGGCATGCCTTCTCAGAATGCCGCGGAGCTTTTCAGAAGCCCTCGCGCCTTCAGACACGTTGTCTAACCCTTCTCTGAGGCGGCAGAAAACTTCTCAGAAGGCCAGAGGGCTTCTGAGAAGCCCCGCCGCCTTCTGAGAAGGCCTGCCCCCTCCCACTGTCCCCCTGGGCGCGCTGCAGACTGGACGCACGGGGCCCGTGGAGGTTCGGTCCCTGACCCCCGACGTCGTGTCTTATCCACAACATCTACCCCCAAAAGGCTCGACCCGTTCCCCGGGACCTATTTTTCTACCCCGAGTCGTTTTTTGACGGTCCCGAGGCCCGGGAAGGGTCCCCAGAGGTCGAACATCGCCCGACACCTCCCGTCGTGATGGTTTTCATGGCTCCAGGGGATCTGGGGTGGTGGTGACTGCGTCCCCTCTGCCGAGGCCTGGATGCCGGACGTGTCGAAGGCGCACGGGAGCGACCCGCGCGGCGGCGCCGACGCCCCCGCGCTGGGAGCGGCAGGAGAGCCGCACGCGCTGCTCTGAGCAGCCGCGGCGTCCTGCAGGGCGCCCTTTTTGCCCGCCGCCTCCCCGCCGTGGCAGCAGCGCCGGCAGCAGCAGCAGTGCCCGGGGCAGTTGTAGCACTCGTAGCGGCAGTGACACCGGCTTCGGCCGCAGCAGCAGCCACAGTGGTACCAGCGACAGCCGCAGCACCAATACCAGCCACCGCCTGCACAGAACAATTGCTGCAACCAACTGCATTGTCAGCATTCGTAGTCGTAGCCAGCATCAGACTGGCGCGACGAGTAGCAGCTGCACCATGAATCTTGGTGAAACATCTCAGCAGCTAGCAGCCACATAATATTTAGTACACGTCGCTGTTGTATATGCAGAAGCGCTGTCCCTACTACAGCATTAGCAATAGCATGCGCACGAAAGCGATAGAACAGCAGATCAGAGGTAACAGGCCCGTGGAACAGGAATGGGCAAGACAAGCGCAATAGCGGAGTGGCGTGTGTACAACTGTCATATGGCTGCGCAGCTGGACGGTGGAACACGAGTGAGGCGAGACGCACTCATTGTCAGGCACCGCGCTCTTAGAGAAACTAATTAGCAAGAAGAGTTGTCAAGTTATGACAAGATGTACATGACCACGCAGGGTGGGTGCTACTCCAAGTGGTTCCACCTCCTCGTCCACGCCCTCCTGCTCCTGCACGTGCTCCCTCCCCCTCCTCCCCGTCCCCTCGTCCCTCCCTCTCCTCTTCACTATTCCCCCTCTCCCTCTGCCCCATTCGCCTTCCCCCTTTTCGTCCCCAACCCGCCCTATCTGGCCCCGCCCCCCCGCCTCTGTTTCTCCCCTCTCCGCTCCTTCTCCTTTCTTCCCACTTCCTCCCTTCCTCTGGAGGTCTTCGGAGGCCACCCATATGCAACGCATGGCAATGTGGACGGGCCCGTCCAGAAATGCGGTACACTACATGGGGAGCCTATTCATTCAACGGCTGGGGAAACGGTATGGCCGAATACCAGTGTGGCTCGGATTTGGATTCGGCACTGGCTGCACAAAGAGGATCCTCATGAAAGAATGCAAACATATTCGCATACCGACCTTGCAAACAATGGCGTATCGCACCACGCCGTTACGGGCCACACCGTTTACCCGCATGCGGTCGTTGCGCACCCAGTGACACCTGGGTAGGACCGCACTCCGCTCGACCCCCAGGCAGCCTGCGACAGTTGGCACCACCCACGGAGGCGAGGCCACGCTTGGGTTTGTATAAGGCCGCACTCCGCTGGACTTCCCGGGAGCTCACGAAAGTGCCGACACTTGCGCAGCTACGTATGTGCAGGGGGGAGAGACTTGCAGCCTGGGTCCATGAAGGACAGCACTCCGCTGACTCCACTGGAGCGTACGAAAACGGCGACAGTTGCGCAGGTGGCAGTACCCACGGATGCGAGATCTGGTTTGGGTGTGGGCCTGTGGGAAAGACCGCGCTCCACTGGACATCCCACAAGCTCACGAAACTGACGGTGGTTGCCCAATTGGCACCACCCAAGGACGCGAGGCCTAACTTAGACCTTGGCAGGACCGCGCTCCGCTAGCCTGGTTATGAACCGGCTGGCCCAAGGGGCCAAAGGCGTGCTAGAATCTCGATTATAGCGGATTACAGTATTTCTTCTTCGCGCGCGCGTGGCGGCCCCTGGGGGCCACCGGACGAAAGAGAAAGTACCCCGGGCGCAGTCTGGACGACTCGGTTCAGTATGCTTTTCGTCCTGGGCGCGACTTTCAAGGCCCCCAAGAGCGCTCCAGCAGCGCTCCACGATGCCTGCAGGGGAGAGCCCAAGAGGGTCCGACACGGCCCAAGAGCGCTCCAATACGTTCAATATTGCATTTTCGCAGTGAAAGGTCCCCCCCCCTTAACGCCTCAGGAGCGCCCCAAGAGGACCTCCAAGAGGGCCCAGATGGGGTACCAATCGTTGATGCTCGTAAGGATTCTGATAGGTTTGAACGTCCTACTCTTCTTGGGCTCCCCACATTCCCAGACGGTCTAGGAGCCCCCAGAGGACACCCCAAAATGGTCCAAGAGGCTCCCAAGACGGCCCAGAGAAAGCCCAAGAGGCCCCGAAGACGGTCCAAGAGAGTCTCCAGAGGGGTCTAAGAAGGGCCCAAGAGGGGGAACAGGAACAGACATTTGAAGCCCCCTGCATCGATAGGACCCTCGAGACCGCCAGCAGGCCCCCAAGAGATCCACAAGATGCCCCAAGAGGCCCTGGTGAGGTTCAACGAGGCCCCCGGGAGCCTCCAAGAGGCTCCCAAGATGCTTCCCCAAAGGCTCCCAAGAACCCCCCAATACTGGCCCCCAAGAGATTCTAAGATGCACAAAAAAAGAGCATCTGAGGCAAGCCATCGCCGCCGAGCGGCGCCGCGTTGGTAGTGAGCACGCGGCGAAACGCCAGCGATCAGTCACCATGAGCCAGCAAAATCAGTGAAACGCTGGATTTCGGTTGGCCCCCTGCGGGCCCTGGCCGTGATGTAGCTTCCAAGGGCAGATGATGAGATGGAGGAGTGATGGGAGGAGGGTGAGAAGCATGCGCAACTGCATGCCGAGAGCGGCCTGGCCCATTCCGCCAGCCGATCTCATGGATTCGCCAAACATGCCTCGTTTCGGGTTAGACGTCCTCGAACATCAAGATGTTGGAGGTTCTAGCTCAAGACATCTTGTGCACACGCTGAGTGTTTCGCCCGAGACATCTTCCGAACATGGAGGTGTCGACATCGCTGGCCTAATCTTCGGATCCCTGAAACCTGGCGTTTGGTTTGGGACAGTATCGACAAACCTGATGCCAAAAGAGCTGTATTAAGACCTCAGGTTGCGAAAGCCTCAATTCGGCACACCCCTCACACATGTCCTGACCCCTATGCTACTGGGGCACGTGAGAACACGAATGCTCTGCTCTCTCAGTTAGGCTCACGGGACGCGTGAACATACAAGTGATTTGGACATCGGGGCTGCTGGGAGATGTGAAAATCAGCCGACCCTGTCGGCGTGTGGAACAACCTTTCCGTCTTGCCCACAGCGTCGTCGCCCCTTCTGCTTTCCGAGGGCTCCCCACACAAGTCCACACAAAAATTGAACAACGTCGTCCGTCAGTCGAAAGGAAGCCCCTTCCCTTGATCCCTTCCCCGCCGGGGGGGGGTCCCGGGGCAACTCCCAGCCCCTCACTCCCGGGGGGGGGTCCCCCCTCGGATACGCAGCTCCCCGCCCCCCATCCTGCTGCGTCCTGGGGCTCCGTTGGCCCTCCGGGGCCGTCTGCGGGCCCTGTCAGCCTATCTTAGGGCTCCTTGTAGACCTTTCGCCACTCTTGGACTCTCCTGGCAGCCTCTGGCGGCGCTCTCGACAGCCTCTGCGGGCGCTTTGTGGACCTCGCTTGACGCCGTCTTGGAACCCTCTCGGGCCGCTGGAGGGCGCTCTTCGCCTACACCCTGCGAAATGTTTAAGAAATCATGGGTCAAGAAATTCATGCTCTCAGAAATTGAATAAAACCCAGATCTTCTATCAAAATCTTGGGATTTACATTGAAAAGTTAAGAACAATCGAGACTCTGGACGAAAACTTAGGTTTTCTTAAGCATCGCCTAAGGTGTATCTTGGCACTCTCGGGAGCCGTTCTCGAAAAAAAAAGGAGGCGGTCTGCGGACGGCCCTGCAGGCATCGGGCGCCGTCTTCGAGCCATCCGAGGGCATCTTGGACTCCTCTGCCTCCCTTGTCTTCGTCGTCGCTGCCTACAGAATTCTGAAGCTCATCTGGAGCTCGAGTTAAGTGGAAGATCACAATCAGTTCGAAAAAAACATAGATAATCTAAGAATCTAATTGCGGACCTAGCAGCAGACTTTCTTCAGAGCTCTAGATGCTCCAGCAAAACGCACCTGATGATTCAGGATTGGTTTCTGTGCGTACCAGCTCTGCAATTGGGCCGTGAGGCCTTCGCAAATAAGAGGAACTGGCCCTTACCTCCTCCTGGAATCCTCAGTGCGACACACCCCCCACACTCACTTCGTGCATGTTGGACGCTCAGTTGGCCCCCGAGACGGCTGGGAGGATCCGCACCTCGTGCTCCGTGGGCCCCCCGACGCCCTCAGCTGGCCGCGCGGCAGTCCACCTCCAAGGGCACGCGCACACGGCCCCAGGAAACACTGCAGCGATTGGTGCCGACCCTCGCCGAGGCCGCACCCCGAGCACCCGCTGACTGCGAGCTTTGCGTGCGAAGCTCCTCCTCCGGGGGCCCGGCGTGGCTCCCGCCCTGCGGGCTCGATCATACCTGCGGCGGGCCCCCTGCGGGCCCTCGCCGTGGTTAAAGCTTCGAGAAGAGGACGAGGTGGCGGGGACACGGGGGGGACACGGGGGGTGCCGAGAGGCATGCGCAACGGCATGGTGAAAGCGGCCTCGCGCACTCCGCCTGCCTCAATATGGCAAGTGTTCATTGAAATCTCTCCAGGGGGCACGTGGAACTAAGCGTGAAACGTGCTCCCAGTGCTAGGCCCGTCTGCGTGAATGTGCGTGACAGGTCCTGCGGCATAAAACAAAAATGCGAATGAGCTGCGCCCGCCAAGGCTACGAAGGTCTCGATTTGGCACACCCTGTAAAAATACGTGTGATATGCGTACCCAGGGCTACAAAAGTTTCGCTTCAGCACGCCCCTCACACATTTCCTGCCTCATACTCTTTGGGCACATTAAAAAAAAACTTGTGATATGCGCCTCCAGGGAAACGAAGGCTTCGAATCGGCACACTCTTCACGCACTTCCTGCCCCACACTCTTCTGGGACACACGAAAAAAAAGAGTGATCTGCGCTCCGAGGCCGTTCGACCCCCCACGAGACGCCAACATGGCCCCCAAAGACATTGCAAATATTGGTATACCGACTCTCGTCGAGGAAATGTCCGTAACACCCCACTGGTTGCAAAATCTGTGTACAAGCTTACCCCTGGTGGCCCGCCGTGACTCCCGCTGTGCGGTCTCAATAAGGCTGCACTCCGCTGGACCTCCCAGGAGCTCACGCAAATGGCGCCGGTTGCGCACTTCGCAGCGCCCAGGGAGGGGAAGTCTTGAGTAGGGTCGTTCAGGACCAAACCCCGCAGAACCCCAAGCTCACAAAGTGGCAACGGTTGCCCAGTTGGCACCACCTGCCCAGTCTAGGATCACACTCCGCTGGACACCTGCCACGGAAGTGCGACAGTTTCGCAGTTGGCAGCAATGATCAGGACCGAGAGGGAGGCGGGAGGACGTACACAGACACAACCGGTGCTCGAATCAAAGAGCCCCAAACGCAGCAAGGTTAGGATATCGCCCCAAACAACATAGCTTCCCCACCATCCTTTCCATTCCCTTCCCGGGCCACGAGGCGCGAGCCCTTCCTCCTCCTCCTCCTCCTCCTTCTCCTCCTCCTCCTCCTCCTCCTCCTCCTCCTTCCCTTTTCTTGAAAAATGACTCCTCCCTGTCGCACCCCGAGACGTGTTTATAGGGAGGGTTGGGCGTTTCGCCGGAGACATCCTCACAATGTATGATCCTGAAGCTCAGAACTTGC